TATGGATCACTAGTACTTTCTTCGGCAGAACTGTGGCAATCGGTAAGGCTGCTGTTGAAATCATCGGCCATATTGTCTTGTACTGTATTTATTGATGGCCCTAGTTGACGTCAGATTTCCTGGCAGTACCCAGTTGTAACATGATACCTTTTGCCGTTATCGTTGTTGGTATCAATTTGAATGCAAATAAAACACAAAATAGGGGTACTATAACATTTCCTTTGGGTTATTATATGCCATTAGTGACCATTGAATTCAATTCTGGAACTTTTGGGAAGCTTGGGCAGCATATCATAGCGAGCGAAACATTAGTTATATGGTATAAAATATTAATTGACAGTCTTTATAGAAACATCTGTTCAGTGGGAGACTTTGTATTTACTATAAATACGTGACCAAATCTAGCAGAACTGTGGCAATCGGTAAGGCTGCTGTTGAAATCATCGGCCATATTGTCTTGTACTGTATTTATTGATGGCCCTAGTTGACGTCAGATTTCCTGGCAGTACCCAGTTGTAACATGATACCTTTTGCTGTTATCGTTGTTGGTATCAATTTGAATGCAAATAAAACACAAAAAAGGGGTACTATAACATTTCCTTTGGGTTATTATATGCCATTAGTGACCATTGAATTCAATTCTGGAACTTTTGGGAAGCTTGGGCAGCATATCATAGCGAGCGAAACATTAGTTATATGGTATAAAATATTAATTGACAGTCTTTATAGAAACATCTGTTCAGTGGGAGACTTTGTATTTACTATAAATACGTGACCAAATCTAGCATTCGACAGTGTATCAACAAGTCTGTATATATATAATATCAACAGGTCTTGCTAACGTTAAAACCATGAATAACCTATTATGTTCCGTTCTGTTGATTTCCGTAATGGTGATTCTTGTAGATGCCGGTAAATATGTTATTTAATATCTAAAAGTTGCTTTATGAATCTAAAGTCAAATTTTGTATATATGATGGGGGAAATTTATTTTAGCTTTTTTATTGTTGGAAGAGTCCGAGTCAGAGGTTTACTGAAGGCAACTTTCTTTTCAGCAGCATGGATAACTAGCTTAAACACATTTTAAATCATCTTTGTCTGTAAATAGTAAATTAACATGTAGTTCTTGAGACAAATACTTGATGATATAATTGTTGGGGGGTAGTATATTTGAGTCAG